CTAATCTGGAAGAAGAAAAACTTTTCGGCAGCGATTGAGCTTCCACTTGTTCCAAGTTACGTTGAAATACTTCCTGAGTAACTGCTTCCAATAGATGAAAATCACCCTTATCAAGGATGTCACGTGGTGCTCCTCCAAAATGCCTGTGCGAGGTTTAAACAGCTGGGAGACAACATCAAGCGGTCTCTGCAAGTTCGCTCCAAGAGAGCAATAGCAGAACTCTTGAAGAATACCCCTTCATCTTCCCAGACCACTCCAAAAAGTGGTAACACTTTTTCCATTTTGCCAGTTGATGATCTAGACTCCGACTCAGAGTTCGGTGAGGGTAGTCCATTTGTCTTTAAAGGCAATACGAGAAAACGGGCCAAAAAACATACCACTGAAAAGCCTCGTAAGGCCACTCGTACGTACCACCCTCCCCCCTTGGAAAATTCAAGAGGTAACGCAAATGCACCGAAAACCATTCCACCAGGTTTTAAACCTTGTAATTATGACATTTGAACCCGATGAACTTCAAGACGCCCTTTTATATTATGTGGGATATATTGTAGTGATGACAACATATTTCAGGTTCTCCAAATTATCCAGAAGATAAGATTTTGATGCCATACAGGATTAATAAAGTCTTGTATGATTTTCTTAGATTTATTAGATGAATCCGTGGAGCTTTGCAGGACCTTATTACATCATGTCAGTTTTATAAATAGATTATCAAGATATTTATTATTCTTTACAGCATTCCTTGGATCACATCTTGGTGATCTTCAGGCTAAACGAGGTATTATATTAACTCGACTATATTTTTGAAAAAATGATCTTGAAGATAAAGCTCTTAGAAGCTCTCGTATTTTCATGAGCATGGAGCATGGAGCGAATAGCCTCGACAGAACTGAGACTATCTGTAAAATAAAATAATGATCTGTTGAAAGTGAAGCGATAGATTCTAGCGAATAATGTGTTGCCGCCAGCTCAGCAACATATACGGAACAAGGAGCTTGAAGCGTTCGAGAGACCAAATCCAGCGGACGCTTCTTTTAGTGATCCATATGTGACGAACGATCTTGCGGAATCAACTTGGCCAAACTTTGCAGCATAAATTGACGGAACAATCATGGAACGATGATGTTCTGGGATCCCACGAATCTCCCGCGTCATAGATAAATCAAAACTAACTGAATTGCCGAAGTCGAAGAAGCATACACGATGCGGATTATGCTGTGAAGGGCTGACATCCTGTGCTATGTACACATAGTACAATGACATAAAACGAGTTTGAGGGTTTAGAAGCTTCTCAAAGTTTGCAATCACCAGTGGGTTCATAATTTCACACCAGGTGAGAGACAATTCCGAAAACAGATCAGAGAATGGCAACATGCCCGCCAACACTTCGAGACTCATCGTATGAGTCGTGTGCGCGATAAGAAGACAGCGATACTGGATACGTTATAGTTTGATGATGTGAGTTTTAGCCGCCGACTGGAAACAAAAACTACCGTACTTCGTAGTACCGTGGGATCTCCACACAGTTAAAATTATTTTGTAATTTTACACGAATTTACATGCACATAAAACGAGCATGCATATTCATGTAAAATTAAATTGGTTTTTAAATTTTCACGACTTGAAATTTACATGCATGTAAAATTAAACGTCACTTGAATTTTACATGAATGGCTTTAGATGGGCTCACTTTGTAATTCTACAGGACATTTAGAATTACACGCATTTGGCTTTTTGAACGAATTTGCATAAAATCGCACTGATTTTCAAGTACGCAGAATTTTCACCCACGCGGAATAACCCGCCTTCACGGCACAGTACACATCCTACATTTCCCCCGCTGCATCAAAACGATCAGTTAGGAGAAAAAAGGAACCACGAGTGCATATTTGAATGTTTTTCTATTTTTCTATATATCCAAATTTTTGATTTTCTGTACGAACTAAAAGTGCAGTCGCTTTAAATCAATATTTTGTCTGTCATCCATTTTCTATTTGTGGACGCGCGTTTGCACGAAAAATCGTTCCACACAACCAAAACTGAGCGCACAAAACAAAACAAACCGAGCGGAGAGAAAACTGATTGAATAATCGGTTCGTCCGCCATATTAGCTTTCTCAATGTTTGTTGATATAAATTTACACGAGCATGTAAGTTTATAGGTTTAATCGTGGAGAATTCGATACCTAGCTGAATAGCCCAAGTAAAGGGTGTCCACGATGAAATTGCCACACTATGAAATTGCTCTAACTTTTTAACCGTTGGGTAGAATTTAATGAAAATTTGGGTGGATTTAGTTCATAGTGCATTATTTACATCCTGCAAGTTTTAAAGTCCTGTGATCAAAACTCGCGGAAATTGAGTCGAAAGAACAGCTCGTGCGTGATAAAATCTTGCGCATTCATCACGAGAACAAGGATCTCTCGCATCGTTCCATCGCTAAAACGTTGGGAATCGCGAATTCCACGGTGTCGCGAGTGATTAAGCGGTTCGAGGAACGGTTGACCACCGATCGGAAGCCCAAAAGTGAAGGAAAAAGTATTCCGTACAACACCAAAAATCACAACCGCGTAGTTGGGTCCTTCAGCCGAAATCCGAACGCCTCCGTTAGGGATGTGGCTAAGAAGCTGCACCTAAGCCGAAGTTTTGTCCAGAAGGCCAAAACTAAGGCTGGGCTTCGAACGTTCAAGGTACAAAAGGCCCCTAATCGCGACGAGAAGCAGAACAAGTCCGCCAAAACCCGTGCCAGGAAGTTGTACCTCAACATGCTGACGAAAGTTGAATGCTGCATCATGGACGACGAAACATATGTGAAGGCCGACTTCAAACAGAACCCCGGCAACCTGTTTTTCACGGCCAAGGATAAGTTCAGCGTTCCGGAGCATGTCCGCACTCAGAAGATGTCCAAATTTGCGAAGAAATTCCTGGTTTGGCAAGCCATCTGCACGTGCGGGAAGCGGAGTGCACCTTTCGTGACCCAGGACACGATGAACGGACAGGTGTACATAAAAGAGTGCCTCCAGAAGCGGCTGCTTTCTCTCCTGAAGGCCCACAACGTCCCAACAATCTTCTGGCCGGATTTGGCCTCATGCCACTACTCCAAGGACGTGCTGAAGTGGTATGCGGACAATAAGGTCAATTTCGTGCCGAAAATGTTCAACCCTCCCAACACTCCGGAGCTCCGCCCCATCGAGAAGTACTGGGCGATTATGAAGCAGCACCTTCTTAAACGACCTAAGGTAGTGAAGACAGTTGAGGAACTGAAGAAAGTATGGGTTTACATGCAAAAAACGGTTGATTCACAGGTTGTGCAGAATCTTATGGCCGGGGTTAAGGCCAAGGTGCGGGCATTTGCGTATGGACTGTAAATAAAATACGAGTAAAATGGTAAAATGAAGTTTAATAGTTATTTCTCAATCCCTGAAAATTTGATGGCAATCGGATGAAAACTCGAATTTTGCGAATCAATTTTGCGTGTGGCAATTTCATCGTGGACACCCTTTAGACCAATTGTCTAAGGTATCCTGTAAGGGTCCTTGCAGGTCGACCCCTTTGGGCCCTGTGACAGACACAACGCCGTCACCTGCAAGTTGTCTCAACGTGCAGTTGGCACTAAGACAATTATCAATTTCTCTGACGTAGAAATTATACAGAAGGGGGCTTAAAAATGAACCCTGGGGTAGACCCATGTAGCTAAATCGTGAAGCTGTAGAGTTTCCATGAGAAAAGCTGACAGCAAATTGTACAAAAAGTTATTAATTAATGGAGAAAGGCCACAAGCGTGGAGTTTGTCTAAAAGGACTTCAACTGAAACTGAATCAAAACTCCCTTGACATCCAAGAACACAGAAGCCATTTGCTCTTTTTTAGCAAAACAGTCGTTTGTTCCCTTACCCCTACGGAAACCAAATTGAGTATCTGAGAGTAGGTGGTTCGTCTCAACCCATTTGTCCTAGCGAAAAAGGATCATTTTCACCAACAGCACGATATCATTGCGATTTTTGTTGTGATGCTACGGTTTCTCCAAATTATCCAGGTATTTAGTTGTTGATAATCAGGCTCATTACATACATACCTGTATTTGTACAACATCACATTTAAGATAAGACATAATCAACAATAGTACGCCACAATACTCGATTTGCGGCTGCCGCTCTCCATCCTCGGTCATGCCCAATGCTCGCTAGATCACGCTCTACCTGGTCCGCCCATCGTGCTCTCTGCGCTTCACGCCTTCTTGTGCCAACCGGATCAGTAACGAACACCAACTTTGCAGGGTTGTTGTCCGGCATTCTTGCAACATACCCTGCCCATCGCATCCTTCCGGCTTTGGCCACCTTCTGGATGCTGGGTTCACCGTAGAATGCAGCGAGCTCGTGGTTCATTCTTTGCCGCCACTCACCGTTCTCCTGCACAACGCTGAAGATCGTCCTTAGCACACGTCGCTCGAAAACTCCGAATGCTTGCAGGTCCTCCTCGAGCATAGTCGATGTCTCGTGTCCATAGAGGACCACCAGTCTTATTAGCGTTCTGTACATGGTACATTTGGTGCGGAAGTGAATCTTTTTTGACCGTAGTTTCTTCTGGATCCCGTAGTAGGCACGACTTCCACTGATGATGCGCCTTCGTATTTCACGACTCACATTGTTGTCAGCCGTCAGTAAGGATCCAAGGTAAACGAATTCCTCCACTACCTCGAAAGTATATCCGTCTATCGTGACATTACTTCCTAGACGAATCCTGTCATGTTCGGTTCCGCCTACTAGCATGTACTTTGTTTTTGACGCACTCACCACCTGTCCGACCTTTGCTGCTTCGTGTTTCAGGCGGGTGTATAGTTCTGCCACCGTTCCAAATGTTCTTGCGACAATGTCCATGTCGTCCGCAAAGCACACAAATTGACCGGATTTCGTGAAGTTGTACCCCGGCTGTTGAGCCCGGCTCGTCGCATAACACCTTCTAGAGCGATGTTGAAGAGTAGGCATGAGAGTTCGTCACCTTGTCACAGTCCCCGGCGAGATTCGAATGAACTGGATAGTTCACCCGAAACCCTTACGCAGTTTTGCACACCGTCCATCGTTGCTTTGATCAGTCTGATCAACTTCCAAGGAATGCCGTTCTCGTCCATGATTTTCCATAGCTCTGTGCGGTCGATACTCTCGTATGCCGCCTTAAAGTCGATGAACAAATGATGAGTTGGGACCTGGTATTCACGGCATTTCTGGAGGATTTGCCGTACGGTGAGGATCTGGTCCGTTGTCGATCGGCTGTCGATGAAGCCGGCTTGATAACTTCCCACGAACTCGGTCATTTTAGACGACGGAAGATGATCTGGGATAGCACTTTGTAGGCGGCATTCAAAATGGTGATCGCTCTGAAGTTCTCACATTCCAAATGGTCGCCTTTCTTGTGAATGGGGCAGATTACCCCCTCCTTCCACTCCACCGGTAGCTGTTCTGTTTCCCAGATCCTGACTATGATCCGGTGCAGGCAGGTGGCCGAATTTTCTGGACCCATCTTGATGAGTTTGGCTGCGATACCATCCTTACCAGCTGCTTTGTTGTTCTTGAGCTGTTGAATGGCATCCTTAACTTCCCTCAGCGTGGGAGTTGGGTCCAGTGCTGTAAATTTTCATATCATTCGATTGAAGATAAACCAATACAACCATTCAATCAATTCTGTGTAAACAAATTCTCACACGACCATAATTTGAAAAGCCCTTTTCTCATTCGAAGCTCATTGTCACTGTCAATTGAGTTACTCACTATCATTTGACAGTGGAGTATGGAAGAAATCCGGCAACATGGTCCCGAACAGACAAGTCAACCCGATGTCGGATCAATGTCAGGCTAATTTAAGGTCGATGTCGACCCAATGTCGTGCTGTTGTCGGGTTGGGGTTTGGTAAAAGTCAGGTTGGTGTCGGGTTGGCTTAGCTTTTTCGCCGGGATGTCAACGCTCCGTTTAGGTGCAGGTAACACTCAAATGACTGAGCAACTGATATCACCCATTCGGAGGAGGTCCCCTTTGATAGCGAATAGCTACTTTTCTCATTTTCATCAAAAAATTTCAAATGATTTTGAGGATTTACAGCACTGGTTGAGTCAGTTCCGTCCTCTGCTGCACTGACGTAGTCGTTTCCTCCATTGCGCTGGTCTCCCGTGCCTACGTTCTCCTCGCCATTCAGGTGCGCATCCAAGTGCTGCTTCCACCTTCCGTCAAGAGCCCCCGTGCTTATCCTTGCACATTTCGACTCGCGTCACGAAGACGTTGCGGGAAGCGTCGAGCTTCTGGTAGTGCTTCCGTGTTTCTTGGGAACGGCACAGCAGTTCCATTTCCTCGCACTCCGCTTCTTCCAGGCGGCGTTATTTTCTCCCGAAAGATGCGGGTCTGCTGTTTCCGCTTCTGTTTATACCGTTCCACGTTCTGTCGGGTTCCATACTGCAGCCTTACCGCCCCACTGCGTTCTTCTCCTTCAAAATCGCTCTGCACTCCTCGCCGAACCATTCATTCCGTTGACTTCTTTTCACGTAACCGATGGTGCTCTCGACTGCGTCGGTGATGACTGCTTTTACTATACTCCAGCAGTCATCTAGAGGGGGCACATCAAGCTCGCCCTCCTATGGCAACGCTGCCTCGAGATTCTGCACGTATGCTAAGGCGACATCCGGTTGCTTCAGTCGCTCTACGTTGTACCGTGGCGGGCGTCGGTACCGTACATTGTTGATGACGGAAAGTTTTGGGCACAGTTTGACCATCACCAGGTAGTGGTCAGAGTCGATGTTAGCGCCACGAAAAGTCCTGACGTTGATAATGTCGGAGAAGTGCCATCCATCAATCAGAACGTGGTCGATTTGCGATTTCGTCTGCTGTGGTGATCTCCAGGTGTAACGATAAGAGAGGCTGTGTTGGAAGAAGGTGCTACGTATGGCCATGTTCTTGGAGGCGGTGAAATCGATGAGTCGTAGGCCGTTCCCGTTCGTCAGCTGGTGGCCGCTGAACTTTCCAATCGATGGTCTGAGTTCCTCCTTCTGGCCTACCTGAGCGTTTAGGTCTCCTATGATGATCTTGATGTCGTGGCTTGGGCAGCGAGCTGCGCGTAAAAATGCATCCTTGTCATCATCAGTGCTTCCGGAGTGAGGGCTGTGCACGTTGATTATGCTAAAGTTGAAGAATCGGCCCTTGATCCTCAACCTGCACATTCTTTCACCGATCGGCCACCAAACCGATCACGCGCTTCTGCATTTCGCCCATCACGATGAAAGCTGTGCCCAGCTCGCGTGTGTTGCCGCAACTCTGGTAGATGGTACATCCAACCGGGGGATGTAAGATTCGCTTACAATTATGTGGGATTCATCATCAGAGGATGTTAGTGGAGACCCCGCATGAACCGAGGATGCGATATACTTAGTTGCGGTCCAATGCAAGAAAATTGGAGACCGAAAAATGTAGAGTGTATTAGTGAGGTAAATTAGTTATGTCGAAAAAAACAGGTATCAGATTGCCGGACTGGAATCAAACCACGAACGTTGCCATTATCAGATCTGTGCTTTCTTCACTGCTCTCTCCATGCTAATGAATATGGATAGCCTAAAAGCAAACATGAAGCGCTCATTTTCTCGCAAACTCGAGCTCGTATGCTTTTCCTGCTGGAGAGATTCGAGGCAAGTGTGTGCGTCGTTCTACAATGTTCTACAATGTGCGTCGTTTACCAGCGTACTGGTATAGTCGAAAGCGTAGATAGAACACGAAATAAAAAAGACAAAAAACCATTACCGGTTCGCGGTCCTTCAGTAGATTGGCGAGTATTCGGGTGCTCCCGATGAAATTGAGAGATCGACAGTTCCACGTGCCGAGTTTCCAATCGCAAGTCCTATTTCGTCGCTGGGGTCGTTGCCGTTGGTCTCGGTTCGTATTCCTCTGTTGCTGATTGTCCGTTGCAATGCTTTTTTTTTACGGCTGGCTCGCAGGGCCTGACACCAACCCCCTAACTTTCCGGAAAACCAGGGTGCACAGTTGTGCTTAGAGTCCTTCACTGGCACTCGGACGTAGATCAGCCGCCCCTAACATGGGGAACAGACGCTATTGTGAGCCGCTCCTCCTGGAGAACAGACGCTCAGGCTTGCCGAAGCAACCCCCCCCCCCCCTTTCCCTGTCAGCCTATGACCAAAGTTCCCACCGGGGTTGGTTACCCGATCTTCCCAAAGGTTGCTCACAGTTCCCGGCCGGTACTACGGGGAGGTATGGATAGGAGTTGCTGGGAAGAGGCTAGTGATCTCAATGGGATCTGTATTGCGCATTACCCAGCATTTACCAACCGATAATCAGGCTCAATAAAAATATTGTATAATGTCGTGATTTATTATACATTCTCACATGTATGAATTGTATTTGCGGAATATTTTTCATTCTCCAAACCACCCTGATGTTCAGAAATAAAATGAGAAATGCATACATTTTGAATAAGGTGTACGGATTCCGGTCTCTCATGGTATATGAATAACATGATCTGTACTAAAGTGATTCTACGAAGTTCAACGGATTCGTACAATAACACGAAATATGGATAAAGGGTTTTTTTTTTTTTGATTTTTAAAACAACTTTTGTCAAACTACAAGACATTTTTAAACTTTTAATACCATCGAGAATAATGTGAAGCATCGTTGTTATTGGATTTTAATGTCACATATGATATTATGGGGCTTTACGAAGCTTTACATATTCAAAATTTTAGTCGGAACATAGTACCATGCCTCGTTGAGCCTGTAGAACATCAGTATCCGAGCTCGTGAAAGATATTTTGTGATTAGATCAGGATGATCTGAAGAATCCAAAGTACTCTGTCGTTACAACTGAAAATCCCACATAATATTATAGAGCTCAACAGGTTCATAAAAATTAGTCAAGACATCGTACAGGACCTTGTTGTACCTGTAAAACAATGTTATGAGAACTCTTAAACAAGGGTCGGATCGCACCTTAGGTGGATACATACAGGTTATTATTTAAGCTGCTAAAACTATGTTGTTTGTTCCAGCAATAACTATGCATGATCAGAACAATGCTCAACGTCAACGTTTCTTTCTTTTGAGTATTTTCCGAATCGAGTCAGTACGGTTTTACCGAGTTTTTGAATTGCGGAACTGTTCGGTAAAAGTTCAAAAATCTGTGGAAAATTTATTATTGAGAAAATTTGTTCTGAATTTGTACATACTTAGTTCTGTTAACCCCATTTAATGATAGAAAATAAAATTGGTCGATGTCATTGATTCCTTACGGATAACGGTTATTTGAATTTTTACCGACTTTTTCAGTAATTCAAAACCCCAGTAAAAAAATACTGACCGCTGTAAAAAAAATCTTAGTGTGTACAGCTAGGCAATTTAATATGACTGCAATGCAGTACCTTCCCAGATAAGCAGCAGAAGTGTTCGCGCCAAAATACAGCACACCATCCAATCATATCCGATTTAGGATTTTTACGATCCCCACCAACGTGTAACAATTGACCTGTAAAATCTAAATCATGTAACCCGACCGGATGAAAAACGGCTACGATCCAAACTTCGCCGGCAAAACGTGCCCAACGGCCTAAATCGGCATCTTTCACGCAGTTTGCGTGCGTGCGTGTATGTGTCTGAGTGTTTGTGTGTGTGCGTGTGCATGTGCCCGCCAAAACCCCTTTTCAGAATCTCCAGCAAAAGTCTTATGCCTTTCTTTTATGATTTATAGACTTTCCTGCGAGTTGAAACATTTCTTCCGTCGGTCGCCATCGCCATGCGTATGATTTATGGACAGACAACGTGGTGTTGTGCCAAAACATGGGATACGCACTTTTATAGCCGATAAAATACGCCCGTTGCTGCGAATGCGAGAAGTGTGCGCAACGGAACGAACGTGATGGAGAGAACTTTAAAATCAACTTTTCATGGACCCCGGCGTCAGCAGTGGCTCATCGAAATCACTGTCGATTTGCTGTGAACGGAGAGCATAGACACGTGGTGCGATATATTGTGGAGTAATGTGAAGCAACCTGAAATCCGGCAAATTAATTTAGTTGACTGGAACCTCGTCAGAATAGGCAGCGTGGCGGAACTATCTCTCCCGGCCCGGTCACGGTTTATAGATCAGGTCGAATGGGTGCGCGAGTGATGATGGCGTTCTGCCGGGCTCTTGGGACAGCTTCTGATAAGTGTGTGTACGTGTGAGTGTACGACTCTTTATTCACCGGTTAACCAAGCAGCTACCTGCTGGTAGGTACCTACTGATGATTTTGGACGTTTGATTGTGTCAACCGGCGTGCTTCCGGTGAGTGCGTGTATTTGTTCATAATAATTGCAATCGGAAACGCACGCTCGGCGGTGATGCAGAAGAAAGTTGGGGGGAAGATGTCACGCTGAGCAGAGCTCAGTTGTTGTATTGCATCAGAATTATTCCTGCTTATGCATTCACAGGTGGAGATTCTGTGCGGAAGGGACAGGCAATTGCAGTATAGGGGAGCTGAGCAAATGTTGCAGTCCCCCATTGAGAGTTAGTGACGCATGAACTGCAATTGAAGGTTTTTTGCTGCAATATGACTTAAGTAACCCTGCCAGTGAGATAGAAAAAATTGGAAAGGCTC